GTAGACGGCACTCTATCAGACTTCCGGAATATAGTGAAATTAATTGTTGGCGACGCGTGTAACAATGGTGTGATGGAAGCTGAAACATGTGTGTTGACTGAATCAGTAAAATTGTTTACCGTTTATCCACTTGTCTAATCACAAAAACTGTCCCTTCACCATCGTCCCCACGCGGAAACACCACTTGTCGATATGGTGCTTTCACTATAAGGTACAAGCAGCAAGTTGCCAGGGTATTGTGAAAAACATGTATACACGCTTGTTGGAATTCTATCTTTCGTGGAATTTTGTTAGAGCCTCTTTTAGGGACATATAATGAGCTCGTTCTTGCTTGATCAGTTTAGCCACTTTTCAATACAAGCAACTCTGGGACCTAGCAGAGGTGACTCGGATATACTGGATGAATGAATAGCAGAGGGGAACTTTAGTTGGCGAAACCTCGTACTTCGTTAGGCTTATCAGTGTTGGATGGGATTTTTGTAGACGGATTATCTAAATTGCCGCATAGTTTGCATAAGGTCTTACACTAATTTGCTTGATTAAATTCATGTATTCCCATAACTAGGTTGTTGAAACCACTAAAAATATTCTTCGAGTGTGATTTTAAAGTTTTTTCATTCTACGTGACTTCCTTGATCCGACCCACCTTGTGTAGATAAACAGATGTTCGATAAGCTGTGAAAGTGAGCTCTGGAGGTTATCAATATAAATGCGCGAACTCTTACCTACTTGGCAATTGATTTAACGTACCTTGAGCAACATTTCGATTGCAAACACACAGGTGAATGCATGGTCAAAATATTCCAGGAGACAGTTGCGGACACTGTTCTCGGACACGGGATCTTCCGCGGCCAGTGCCACGCTGCTTGAAGCAATCACAATCATGATGAACAAGTCGAAATACCGGAGATTGACGACAAAATGACAAAATCGCCGAACACTGCAGTGACAAAAACACATTTATATTTGTAAGTTACCTTGTTTATAACTAATCATAGGATCAAGAAAACACATCTTTATTGTTTTACTTCCAAAACGGATTCACCTACCTAACCTCAAAATGGTCTTACCTAAGCAGCACCAAGATTAAGCCTAACCTTTTGCCACAAAATCCAACTGTGCTTACATTTTGACTGTCGAAACACATTAATGGCGAACGCCATATCGATTCCATGAAAACTGATTCAATTTAGAACAGATCCCCTAACATAAAACCCGAATAACTTTTACCTCAAGTTTTTTGGAATCAAATACGGCTGCGCATCAACCTACTGCGCAGCAGAACAATCATGTGAAACAGACCCGTGCGATTATGCCCCCGCGTCTGAATCACGTCCGATTTCATCATGAGCCGGAGAAAGGTCAAATAAGGACACAGAAAGTTCACACCCACTCCGTGGCCAGGGCACCCCGTACACAGGCACACAGGCGGCCATCTATGATTAACCGAGACAAAGGAACAACCGCCCGAGAACAGGTGTGGGTGTGTGGGAGACACACTGGTTGGTTGACAGCGGATCGACCATCAAATACGGTGATAAGTGAATCTCATATATATAGCAGTTTGTAATTGCGTTAATACACAGTTCCTTCAGGTCGTCTTCTTGTCTTCTGACTATAACCCAGTAGCGTCAGGGCAGGTGAAGAGGTAAAACAGAACCTGATTTGTGGTTTTAGCGAGGAGACTGTAGGTTTGGGACGGCATTTGGGACAGAGTAAGTCATCCTATGGAAGCACGAGGTCAAAACTAGATAACCCTGTTGTTGTCGAGGTATAAAAGATGGAGTAAAGACATTTTCTTGATAACTGGTCACTCAGGACAACGTCGAACCGGTCTTAAAAAGAACCAAGGCGGAAGTCTTACGATTACCTGCAGAACCAATCATTACATGAATTTGGGTTGCACACGCAAGTAACACATGTGGCGGAAACAAAAAACGGACACAGGTTTCCGGTGATCTCTTATCGCGTGTGGTAGTTCAAGTCACGTTCCCAGAAACAAATGTGAACATATAGGCCGCTCGGAGGAAAGAGCATATACTTATGGGTGCAGAAATGTTTCATAGTGTTCCATTTAGAGCAAAGCGTTTCAGTTAACACAGTTAACATATTATAAAGGAGATCACTTGAGTCGTCCTGCTACATCAAGGACTACTTTCGGAGAAGGGCAGAACCGGCGGTTCATTCAGTCCCCGATTTTGACCATAGTCTGCGATTCGCTACCGAGTTTAGCGGAAATTTGCTGTGTACACGAGTAAGTGACAATGAGTTGTATTCTGTTTTGGGTTTTGCGGGATGTGTATTGTTGTATTCTATTACAGACTGTTTTCATCGAAAATCCTACTTTTTCGAGCTTTCTCAGGTGTGTCTTATCAATCTTACCAAACATGTCAGAAATAGCACTTTGAACTCGGCTTCTCAACTCTATAATTTCCACGGAATACGCAGTGTTTGCACGCGGGCTATATTGGACAGGACGACCTCACGCAGAACTGAACACATAACTTTCCTAAAATCTATTCGTTTAGTTCGATAAAGATCTGCGAGCTCATCATGGCACACAGATCGTATTTCAAAATTATAGGCGCTGAAGTGTATCAGAATGTGCTCATGATATTCTAGAATCCGTCTTTCCAATCCACGTACATATAGTGTCAGAACCACCTGCTAAATTGGAAGCAGAAACCACGCCGGTGTAGTTTGAAGCAAGCTGAAACCAACACGGCTGTCAGGATTGTCGTATTATCTGACCCCATGCGTATGTATGTATGTCTCTGAACCGAACCGGGTGGCATCATGTTGACAGTTCAAATGGCCAATGATTGATCGGTCAAGATCCCACGTCAGAATCGTGTCACATGATCACTATTTAGAACAACGTCCATCAAGATTTTATCATCGCCTGTTAATGTTGCTACCCTATATTTGAAATGCCCGTCGGTACTCTGTGGGAAATATCAGTTTCGACTTTTGGTAAAGCGGACACATTGGGTTCGCTAATGCCGAACCCTGTTGATTCATTTACATTAAAATACACCTAATTGGAAAATATAGCCGGACGTCACGACGCGAAATGATACCATAACAACAGCGACAACAAAGCTAACAGCAGGGACACCAAAGGTGCTGTAACATAGACCAGAAAAATCAGTTGCTTTACGATGGAATATGCCCCAAGTACGATAATCTGTAACCACCCGAATTCTACAGATATTCCACAAGGTCACGGGAGGCAATGAAGCAGCCAAATGAAATAAACTATTTACTGCATTTTGAAAGCAATTCAAGGGCATTATTTAGGCAAACAAAGCAAAAAGGGGGCAAAGCCGGAAGTGGGCTTCTTTATTTTACGGATTTAGTGCAGGACAAAATCGAGTATCTCGAGGTGATGGTCATCTTTCCAGCTGCGTTATTAATTAACTACAATTCGAAAAATGAAGCAACTGAACTCTCTTCAGTTTACAAAAGATCCAAGGAAGTCAAATAAGAAGGACGAACAGAAGCGGGTATAACAAACAATATGATCAAAGAATTTGTGCGGCTAACAGAAAGTAGAACCCTACGACATGAAAAGGAACAAGATCTAGTGTTAAGTCAACACGGTGACTGAACCAACTGCTCAGAAAAAATGGGTTTCAGCGTTACCAATGAAACTTGCAAAATTTTGCCAACCAGAAATTAACAGGATAGCCGGAATTAACTTTCTAACAACCTAAACGAATTATTAGTTCTGATAAATCACTCACGGGTTTGTAGAAGAGAATATGAACATTGAGCTATAAGGCAGGATTGGTTTTCCGTAGGATATCTGTTGAGGGGGGTCTGGCTGTGGGGCATTTTTTTCGGCCTCAATACAATTTGCAATTTGATTGTGAAATTTCTGTATCATTGTATCTGAAACAAGGGACAAGAACAAGTCGACAGTTATTCAGAGGAAAGAGCGCAGTCGCCGAGTGATTGATTGATTGATTGTACCAAACGGGATTCCGTTCGTTCAGTTGGGGGAAATGTGTTTTGTTCACATACTGTCATTGTGAACTTCCACTGGTAAAAACAACTGCAATAATCCAAACTGACTTGCAGTGTTTAATTTTATTTTAGAAGGGTATATGATTCGCTGTGAAAATAAATGATGGTTTGGCTCTTTTTTCTGCTCAGCCACCTGTCAGAGCAAATAGATGAGGTAGTCTGGGTTACGATCGCAGCTGAACGATGGTGACACCGTCTGATACGTTCTAGTTTAGTTTCCACATACAAAGGGGAAGCATTTATTCACACAAATGAATAAAAACTTCTGCAATGAGGTGTATGTAATTGTAGTTGTTCTGGAATTAAATTGATGAATTGTTTCAGATATGAACTGGCTAGACCACAAATCCGCTTCTCTCATCCCCAGGCTGAAGGCGCTTCAGATACTAGACGGACTAAGGTTGTTTGTAAAAGTCTCCAGGGGGTTGTCTTTGGACAGTAAAATTTTGTTGATCACTATTGTGGATACTCTAGTGCAGCGAAAAACGAATAAATTTTGTAATACACTACTCATAAGGTTGCTGAAAATTCCTCTACAGCCCACGACCGGTTTCGCTCTTCTTGGGGCTCATCAGGTGGGCGCAGTCCCCGGGTTTTCGTCAACCTTATGTTCTACTTGAAACCAAATTGCACGAAATCAGCAAAATACACTCATTTGCAGACTAATTTGGTTTTTGGAATAAATTTTCTAAAAAAGATAAGCTTTTACAGACATGGAATTCAAAACGGTTTTGTTCTAAGATGTCTTCTCGCGAGAAATCAGTCCATATAAACGGAACCTAAGCTGTCTATAGCTCGATGCACTACAATCTGGAAGGTTTTTTAGGTCTAAACCCAGTTGCGGTCAGTTGACGAGCTCTCACTTGTATCGTGGACTTGTTCAATATAGACAAACGCTGCTTCACAGACAAATCAGTTTGTGCTGAAAACTAGGTATCCAACGGTATCAGGGTGTGGAAACGATCATAAAGTGTGTGAATACTCCACCTTCAAGATGTAAGCGTTTACAAGGCTACCTTCTAACTAAGTTTGATTCAACTTCAGCCGTTTTCGACAGGCAAAGTACATACCTGAAGACTCTATGGTCAGCTGCAACTATGAGTGATAACTATTCAAGTTCTGGCTCTGAATATCTTGGAGATACCAATAAAAATGCTATGAGGATGAGCGATAATCACGTTTCGACCTACGGGAATTCCCATTTTGTTCAGACTCATAACGGGAAAAAAGCATCCGATTGGTGATGTGCTCTGCTTATTAAAAAGAAATGAATAATGCTTAAGGAATGTGGGAAGAACGGTGAAACACGTACAGTTGTTGTGAACACCATTTTGAAAGTTGTCAATTAGCGCCTTCCGGAAACTCTCATCCGTGGACCTGTGTAGAATGCATGTAGAGGTAGGAATTAGATGCGAATCAGTTTGAATTTCACATGACTTTTTAAGCAACTCACGAAGCATGGGAAAAAACTCACAGATAGAAGTTGCCCTACTGTGAATGAACGGAGCAATGGATAGGGTAATAGTGAGCATAAGGTGTACACCAGTGCGTGTACTTAGAGAGTCATAGTAGAGGACAGATTATCTTATTGTATTCCGGTAGACAGACTGAAAATACTCTTCTCCGTATTGATTTATTGGAAGAAAACAAATGAAATTACAGGTTTTCTAAGGCATCCGATCGATCAAGTCATGATAGAAAGACGACATGAAGCTATAGGAGCATTCACTTCGCCAAAAATGACCATGTTGGCTCAAAGCCTTATGTTAACTCGTTGTCCTGTATACCAGTTCCAGAAACATTTTCAGAAACAATACCAGCAACAGTTTGTCTACACCGCTTGTATGTGCAAGTAAAACAACCAATGAGATAAGGGGATATGGGACGAATAATTTTGAGTTTATCTCTTTACTCATCTGAAACTGGGGAGAGGGAAGTATATTTGTACGGCGAAGATAAATAAACTTCTATTGACTGGCTAGGTCACCATTACTTGTAAGTCACAGGCTACTTAATCGCCAAAGGAGCTTTTGTGTTATAGGTTCCATGGCCTTAGCTTTCTGACGCTGTTGTCTTTAAGCAAAAAACTTCCCTCACTGCGAATTTCATCTTCATGTTTGCGGTTGTTTGTGCATCATGTTGTTTCCCACAAAGACCACCCTACCTAGAAGTAATTCATCTCCAGACCTGGATTACACACATAAGCTGTTAAGCTATGCAGGTAGAAAAATTTCAGTTCTCGAGAAATACACTCATTTGCAAATCAATTTGGTTTTCACGGGAGGCTCAATTGAATCTCTCGTTTATGTTGTCCTCCAGCTGAATGTGCTGCACACAGGCCGCCCCACGATTCAGTTGGCACGATATTCGAGATATCGAAGTATATCTCTTTTCATAAAGGANCTGAAAACTGTTCGACTCTTCGAACCTTTTCGTTTTGACTTTAGATGAGGGGCACCGTACTAGAACGTTTTTATTGCCTTTCCTACTCAAATGCGAATGAGCTATAACTGTAAAACACGACAGAGTTACTGACTGTTCAGTTTTCCGTGTCTTTGTGCTTAAACATACATGCACTTAACCCGGAAAGCCTAATAGGTCTCGTATCTCAGATGGAGATGATTTATGAGATAACAGATCGACTGTTTTGCCCCCTAATGGTTACGGTCGAACTGCAGCTGCTGTTTCCCTTCGCCACCAAAACTGACAAAATGGATAGAGAAAAATTGTAAGCCTCTAACACAGTGGGCGTACTCTCATTCAAGAACTGGTAAACTGAATTTGCTGAATTTCACTAACATGAAATAGAATGCGTGAGTTTAGCAGCAGAACACTTATTCCACAACATTAACTTTCTTGACGAAAACCATGATCTACTACTTTTTTCGTATTACTATTTTTTATGTGGCACGCATCTGCTGAAATCCAACATCACGTGCACAAGAACGTTTGCGCCTAAATGGAATGACCTTTGTCAAGAAGTCCTGAAAATAACCCAAACGATCCCGGAAACTAATGAGACCCTAAAACTCCACCAAAATCTCAATAAGGAAGTCGGTGAGCATCCTGGCCAATCAATCACTCAATCAATCCAACAAGTGCAGATGAGTGTTCAGGCACACCACAGAAGTATGACCGACTGTGAAGCAGTTCGGGTCGAAGGTGATGGGTGTTCACTAAACACATGCCAGATCAATGTCAAAAATTGTCCTTCAAATAGCCTGAAGACGTTGTAACTTTCGCACTCGCACACACTTGTTTGTTCTCAATAAAACTGCTGTGTTCTTCGTCGGCGAGCCTTTTTCCAGCACTAGGCACTGGAGCGGGGACAGCAGTCAGATATAACAACCTCCCATTCGAGTCTATCGAGTTTTCGTCAATTTGTGTTACTTTTGCTTTGACGGCGTCTAGTGACAGGTACGGATATAATGATACCTTAATGATGAGTCCGACTAGCTGTCCAGCTTAATATTAAAACAGCGAGTTTTACTGTTTCGGTAATAAGTAATGCCATTATTCCAAATTTCCCTTTGTATGATGCTCAAGTTCTGATTACCTACCTGCGATTGTTGACTTCTTTTGTCTCCTCGGGTTTGCCCGCATTTTCACTGTCTCCGGTAGCCGAACTACCGGCCGCTTTGTTTTCTTCCTCTGCTAACTGAAAGTGCAAAATGTCAAATAAATATGTCAGCCGTCTAACAACTACTACTATCTGTTCCTTCCAAGAATTAGGTGTTTCCATTCTCGTAATAAAATCTTCCTTTTGTTTGCATATTTGGTGCATTGGTGGTGCCTAAGCGTCAGATGTGATAATGGGAACGGATTAAAACAATGGTAAGAGACTGTTTCATGTTGTGCTAACATCTTTAGTTTGTCAGTTGGAGTGTGGAAAACGGAGTGGTGCCTAAGCATCAGATGTGATAATGGAAACGGATTAAAACAATGGCAAGAGACTGTTTCATGTTGTGCTAACATCCTTAGTTTGTCAGTTGGAGTGTGGAAAACGGAATCTTGCGTGAAAAGTTCAGGTAGCTTGGCTGATTCGATATTTTCGATACATTCGATGTGATTTTGGTTCCTGAGACAGAAGAGCAGCACTTTAATTGTCTGTCATTTGTAACTTCCTCACCTGCACCTTTTAAATCGTTTCACGATGCAAAAGAGATTTAATTGGAGTGAAAGAAGTCAAACTTCAATGCATATTCAATTGGTCACTTAGCTGCAGTGACACCAGGTCACGTTCATATCATGCTGCAGAACGTACGTATGACAAACGAGATGAATCGGTGTACCATGGCTTTCGTGGTACTCTTCAACAATTCATAGGACGTGTAAATATCTTCTAGTACAGGATTTGTGCCAGTCTATTTAGCATCTCATGGACGCGATCGGGTGCCAACATTCCGTTTCTTGAGCTGTTTTCATTTGCCGGTTAGCACTCGATGCGGGTCGGTGAGTGAATATGAACAACAGGCATGAATGAGGTCTGTGTAGACATGGGAAATATGAACAAAATACCTATCCCTCAAAACCCCAAAACTGTAACCAAAAAGTTGCCCAGTGGGTGCGTCACGCTACCTGACTGGGAAGTCTTGACTGGCGGGTCAATCGGTCGTTGCAACCAGGATAGTTACTGGGTCGTCGTTCGATGATTCGGGCACACCAATCACATCGCTCAAGTGTGAACACGTTCGCCTGTTCAGACCTGAAAAGTCAGACGCGTCCAACGTGCGTCGGTGGAGTAATGGTTACGCGCTCGCCTCGCATGTCAGATGTCCGGGGTTCGAATCCCGGCACGGACATTAGATGTGCACTGCTGATGAGCTCTAATAAGAGCGAAACTCTTGTCCAGTGCTTCCCTTTGGTGTGGACTCACTGGAATAATTACGCTAGAACAGGAGGGTAACCGTTCAAACGAGAGTGGTGTGACAGTGAACAAAATACATATCCCGAAAAACTTCAAAACTGCAACATTGGAAATAGTTACCAAATATACGTTTGCTGACAGTAATGCTGACAAGGTGGGTGTTCGGATGGGGAAGGCCCGCCTGGCTCCCCTTCGATTTATGACAACAGTGATAGAGCGAATAGCACCATACTGTGGCCGTGGCGTTGTATGGAGTTGAAATCTGGCCACGACTCTGAAGGCAAAAGATGACTACCTACTTTGAACACATGTGGTTGGACGCCGTATTTCCAGTTCTGAAATGTGCCGTATGTTATCTTATCGGACGTGGACACCCGCTGGACAGTTTCATACAAATACGCTTACATTGACTGAGTGGTGTATTACGAACTGAAAACCGTTGATTTAAACATGACTCCGATCGAAAAAGAAACAGTCGGGTGAGCAAAGAAGCAATGAAGACTTAACTCATGGTCTCAGTCATCCTGGCGCATGGTGTTTGCCAGGATGAGGAGATGAACAATCACCCAGCTGGTGAACATCAACGATATAGATAAACCACAAAAACAGCGGTGTACCTATGTACTCCCAACTGCTTTAACCGCATGACTTTTATCGATATTGATTGTTCATCCTCTTCCCTCAGCGTTAATTTTTCCTTTCTGATGACGAGCTAGTGTGATTACTAGAACTATTGTAGCCATGTGTACTGTCTATGGTTGAAAAGCAGAACGAACAGATCCATGATTTTGGTATATAGCCCATGATTATGATATCTATCCTGGCCTTCCTACCACAGGCTCTCTATAGGTTTTCACCTCCTTAACTTTAAGGATGGTAAACGCACTGTCTGCCATTTGGAATCCATTAGCATAATCTTAATCAACGGTTTCAAACTTCAGGATGGGGACCAAATGAAGCTCCACTTTTGACAGAGACCAAAAAACCCGGATGATTGTTTCGCAGACGTGTGACAGAATGAACCTTGCATAAAATTACAGAGCGAGCCTACTTGAATCGGGAAATTCCGAACTTAGAACCACTTGTGCAAAGACCAATACCAAGCTTGGACATCTGATACTATGTGACCGTTTCTCATCCGACTGTTCGAAAGTTCGTCACTTTTCACCTGAATGTTTGCTAAATGATCATCAATCTTACACTTGTTGGCGATAGGAAGAGAAGCATGGATGTGTTACACTTTTCTGAGCATTTTGACTGTCCGATGTTTTGAATTCTTTACCACTCTGATTCGTGAGAGGTGTTTTGACAAGGAACTATGTTTGGACCCCAGAACTAGAAGCATTGGGACGAATATAACTGGAATACTATTCAAGTTGCTTTTAAAGCACAAAAATGTCAACTGACTGTTTCCGATGTATCCTGTCCCTCTGGCCTAACAGTATTTCACTGTTAAGTGCATCTTATGGCGTCGGAACATGCGCTGACCATATTGCCATCGGCAACAGGTAGAATCACTTGGATAACAAATAGCCAATTAATGCACAATTACTATGAACGAGTGGTGGCCGAATAAAAAAATTGGACCAACGAGCTGAAGGTCACAAAGTCAAACACGTTATAGGGTTGAGACGTAGGAGCAAACCAGTTAGTACTTCTCAAATCTAGAGCCTAAGTCTCCTACTCGCCAGTTGAGTGGTAGTGACATAGACAGTTCGGAATGCTGATCGAGGAATACGAAATCCAAACCGTGCATGGTTCAGGAAATTGTCAACAGCTCTCAAACCAGCCGGAACTAATCCATCGTGTTGTGCGTCGTCGTGGAGATTTCCAAACTGGAATTTCCATTCACATCGTTGTTGTATTTAGGGAAAGACTGACGTGATTATAGAGGGTGTGCAATGCCCTCGCGATTAACCTACGCAATCTGTGCATTAATTTCAATACCGGACAAAAATACCAGCCATCTGGTCGACGCATAACTCGACACTGGCTCGAGAGGCAAAGGGTTATTGTCAGTTGGTTGTTCGGATAAATATAGACAAAAAACAGAGGAATTTATTCGAGTTTTATTTGAGACTCTCTGGGTTTCCGCATGAACGATCTGTTTGGCAATTCATTTCCTGCTTCCTCTATTCAACGCGTCTAGGTTTCAGACTAAATAACATCGAGAGATATTGAAAACTGACACCGTTGCCTCGCTGTTGTACAATTAATTCGGATCGACAGCAGTTCTGAAACTCGGAGACAAACGTTGAAAATATTGTTTAAAAAATTGTTCAGTAGGTTTTAAGCACATATGATTCTGTCTGACTAACGAGTCCTGACAAGCAGACCAGCCGATCGACACAACCGAGACAGCTAGTAGGTTATCATTTGAGGCGTCAGGCAAGCGTGAATACCTTCGAATTGTCACAAGTGACATTTCGGATACGTCCAGCGTGCGTTAGTGGAGTAGTGGTAAAGCATTCGCTTCACATTTCAGGAGTCTGGAAGTCTAAATCTTGGAAAGCCAAGGGTGTACCCTGCTAATGGGCTCAAACAAGAGCGGAACTCGGGACTAGTGTGTAGTCTCAGAAGAATAAATGTGCCAGGACACAAGGAGGACTGCCCGAATCACAGTGGTGTTTCAGCCCCATTTTCGTTTTTGACCAGTGTGGATGGTCCGAAACATAATAATGATAATAATAGTAATAATAATCATTCAGTCGGCACAAGTTTTCGATGGTCAACCGCCATGCCACCCAAACGAAGCACATGGGCTGGGATACTGCCAAGTTGCCCAAGCCTAGACAGCGTAAGTCGAGAGGTCGGATTCGAACCACTGGGATTCCATTCAGTAGATTCACGCTTTTACCACTGAGCCACCTCGTCTCACTCTCGTCCGAAGCATAGGTCACTCTTGGTTTCGTCTACAAAACTACATTAAGACATATCTCCCCATATATGACATTTGGACGACTCATTTCATTACACAACACATTATCTGGGTACAGTCAGCGTCTGGTTCCTGAAGAAATCATGGAAGATACTCACCAACGTCATTGTCGGCGTTTGGCTAGTGATCCGTTAATCCAGCGAGTGACGAATCACGTCTAAATCTCAGATAGACGGGCATGCTCTGTAGCTACATCCCTCATAGTTCAGCTAAATGTTAGCACGTTCATCTGATCAGGACGGATATACAAGTTTATTCCCACACAGCAGGTGCACATTTTCATTCATATCACATTAACTCAGGATACATTTCAACGGTTTACAGATTCTCCTATAGGCAATATCAGTCAACAAATTTCATGGTAATTCAACCTTTGCAGCTCAATTCACTGCAGCCCAGTTAGCCGAATTAGGACTACATCTCTTCGCTGCAACACTTCACTCAAACCGGACAGTACACAATGCATGCATTACATATCAGTTCATTTTCACTTTACAGACCAATTCAATCACTTGCTCTCACAACTGGGTTGTGCTTTGTTTCTCCCGCTCGTAGTTGGACGCTTGTGTTTATCAATGAAGAACCATTGACAGATTACGCTATTACTGATGTCCTGGAATAGACGCACGCCTTTCAGGCCTTCGATCCTTTTCGTATGAGTGACACCGAGTATTTGGTGCACCGAATGCTGTGTATGCAGCCGCTATGTACATCACTTCTCGCTAATGGTTTGTTGGTGGTAAGCCTGATAAAAAGGCATTTAATGTTCTACCTTGAGGCAGTTTGACCTGATTATGAGGCTCGGGACAGATGTACATAGATGCACACAGTTGAAGCTGGCTTATAATTTCACCAAACATATACTTGGAAAACTACCATTTCTGAGCATGGTATGACCGATGAGTTGCTCTTAGTCGGTAAAAGAAGGTCCTTGTACCAAAAACAAACAGTAGAGTCAGGGCGCAGTGAAGTCAGCGGAAGATGATCTGTTCTAGCCAAAAAGGATTCAGCTTCGTTCTCACGTATTTTTAGTCACCAGACTGCAAAAAATCTCAAGGAAGTATAAATATATCATGATTTTAGAAGAGGTTTGATTAAAAGGAAGTTTTTGTACTGCCACTAGTTGACCGATTCGGTCCATGGGCCCTCCCAGAATATAACACTGGAAACACGAGTATTTTAGTTCTATTTTCCATTAGCCTTATTCGTTTGGTTTCTTCTATTTTTGTCGTAATGATTGACTGTCAGGAAAACTCTGTAAGGAGTACACATTGATAACACGGCAAAAGTGTACAGAAAAGCGGGTGAAGCGTTTCGTTTAGCTGCTTCAATAAGAGACCAAAGACTACCCTAAGGGCATGGAGTAGCAAATCACAACTGTCTCAAGAGTTGGGCGGTGCTACCCACCCGGTGGGTAGATCAAATCGCCCAACAACTATGAATACCGCTCCGAGGTAATGCTCTCCATACATTTACAGACGTGTTTATGAACTTTACTCCCTTTGGTTGTACGTCTTCCAACCCTAGGCTGCGAAAGACCGAATCATAATTTGCTAAGGTAACAAATACAGTTCACAGGTAGGGAAAATTAGGTTATTTCATCCGAAATAAGCAGTGTTCTAATAGTCTTGAACAAATAAATAAAGGCAACCCCAGGTCAAATGAAGCACGCTGTAAGTGAAAATTGCATCTGGAAATGTCACAACCCGATAATTACCTGGTCAGCGAGACGTTTCTCCTCTTCTTCGGCTGCTGTCAGTTCCTGCGCATTTGCCAAATTATCGACCGCGATAGCAAGGAAAACGTTGAGCAGTGTGTCTACGTTTCACTACGTCAAGGAATGGCCTTCTAGCGTAATATTTTGAGGGCGTTTAGATATTTCTTACTTCCACAGAAAAATGATGCCACCTGTTAGAAAAATCAGCTAGGTGGAAGGTAAGTCCAAAGCATAGTGGGCACTAAATTGCGTCGACACTTGGATAATTCAGCCACATAACGACAAAGCTCGATAGCTTCGTTGCTAGGTCGTTTATGCGCATGTCAGCCAACGAAGGATCAACAATGGGACTGACAAAATAAAATACGATGATTCTTCTCTCCCAGAGAATTTCTCATACAGCAGAACGATCTCCTCCGGTCTGTCGAGTTCTTTTAAACGAGAGCTATCTGGACCAGAATAATCTTATCTAGATAGTGCTTTGGTCCCTCACATTGTTTAGTCATCTTAGCAGACCAGAACTAATCAGCACTCTCTAGGTAGCTTACATGGAAGAATAATTTACGTAAACGAGTGGAACTTTCATTTAAGATGTGGTCACCTGAGGAGCCAGTCAGCGAGTGACCACGTGATATAGACCCCGTGACTAAGGATGTATGGAACTTTATCTTGTCTCAGTAAGGATTAATCATATTGCTGATCAGTCGCTTGTGACCAAACGGTTACGTTCAGACTCCTAACCAGGAGGTCGCGGATTCGAAACTACAAAATGGAATTTTGTGAAACGCGGACCGTCGATGCTTCTCGATAATTATGAAACAGCTATTCAATGCTTCTGGGCTTTTCAGCACAGCTTGGCTTTATTTGCAGGACGAAATATCAGTTAACAATTTTTAAATCTACTCGCACTACCAAAGTAACGAAACTTTTTAGATGACCAGGGAACAAAGGTCTGTGAATGGAACAAGCAAATCAGTCGACATAGTTTCAAGTGGCTGAGCGAACTTCGTAGATGGCAGTGGCCAGTTTTATTCATAACTTATTCATAACAGTCCATGCTTATTACAAACCCGTGTAAAGCCGGATTTCACATCTTTCGGATCCCAGTGGTGGTAGCATGCGGTTTTGATCTTTGATTTTTTCTAAACAAGAGGTTTGTTCATTCACACAGACTAATTGATACTGAGTCGTAGTAAGCGGATAACAGGCAGAAAAGTTATTTAAAGCGTGACATTAACGGTAACGACGGCATAAAGGACGATATGTTCGTACAAACTTGGTCGTTTTGCCTGGTTTGAAATAAGAACAATGGAAATGAGGTAGAATCATCCGACCGGAACTTCATTGCGATAGAGACCACTGACATTCTGTGGACGCGAATGCCAGCGGTACATCCACTTTGACAAATTCAAACCGTGTGGAACGAACTAAACGAAAAACAAATTGAACAACTCTTGGTACACTGACCGACGTTCTAGTCATAATGAGAGAAGTCTCCTCACGACTACGCACCGTTGTCGGTTTAGTGGGCAACGTCATCGTATTTCCGCATATACTCATTTGCCGAGTTTTTTGGCGCACATACACTAATGGTATCTTACGGCCTCCTAGTTTGAATCTAAGATGATGCCAATAAACTTCTACAAGTGAAAACTGCCTAAATGCAAATCCGCCAGAGTAAATAACTTTATATCTAAACTACTGACCCTACAAATTAGTGTCTTCCACATCAGAAGGATACAATTTCCAAACAAAACTAATAGTACAAAGTAAACGCAGTAGATAAATCCGCCATTATTGACTCCGCCTTGAGACCGGATGCCATCATACATGATTGCGTTCCAATCTTCTCCCGTCAGTATCTAAGAGGAGTAGGAATAACGCAAAAGAATTATACGAATGAAACAACCACAGGGCATGAAGTCGTGGAACAAATTCAGTGAAAGCTGTTTTTGCAATGTCATCGAAATTAGCCAAGTTTTATCATGAAGCGATTTCAAACGGTTTCCTAAAATGAATCAGCCCACTTGTACTGGAAGACAGAAAATTCTGTATACAAAATCCCCACATAACTGCTTATGTTTCACTGGCATCATTAACATCTCGTGAATTCGAGGGTAATCCCCCATGTGCTACATCCCGATTAGTAATGTGTCGTCGCTACCACGTTTGTATCAAAACGGAAGTGGATAACCCATCATTCACGTTTGTGTATTACTTTGCTTATATATCTGGCTGCGCTGACTGACTGATGTTCCTCCATTAGGCCTAGTCAGCTAAGTTCTTGTAGTCACTTATCAGCGGGGACACGCACCAGAAAACACCATTCGCCTTAAAAATATGATGCATATACAAGAGTGGATCGAAAATTCTAGAAGGCCCAAACCACCACTGTAACTTTGTGAAGAATGAAATTTCCAGTACACATGCCTTCCGCCTTCCTGTACACAAAATAGCGCGAAAATCCACTGGATAGTGTACCGGGTAAGTGAATTGCTTCCAAATACGCAACTTACGAGGAAAGTTAAAACCCTGATGTCCTCTCTCTGCTTGGTCATTAAAAAAACTGTATGTGAGTAGGTCAAGTATAGCAGTTTCCCTTCAAAGAAAGTTCCTTCAAAGAGACTTCTAAAGTCCATCCTAGTATTCCTCGTCAACCACCATGCAGTGTAAGACCATCTTCGAAAAGGAACCAGATGGTTCCTTCCGCTGTGGTATCCCTTTTTCTGAGGAGTTGCCGTCATTGAATTTCGTGAGGACCACGTAATACTATTTTTTAGTTGCTGGTTGCGGGATTTTCAGAATTCACACTCAAATCACTCGCGTTTGAACAGCCGTCCACCTTTCTTAGGGAAATTATTCTGGTGCATTCACACTAAAGCGGGAAGAAGTGAATTCATGTTGAGCTCTTATGAGCAGTGCATATCTTCGACCACGCCGGAGTTTGTACTCCGGACATCCGAGATACGAGGCAGGTGTGTTGCCATTACCCCATCAGCGCCTGCTGAACATATCTGAATGTCTAGGTTTGAACAGGTGAAAATTTTTACGCTTGAGTAACGTGTTTGGTCTACCCGACGCATCAGAAAATGACCCAGGAAGTGTCCTAGTTGCGTCGATCGACTGACCCGCCTGTCAGGCCAATCCAGTCAGATAGCGCCAAGGACGCTTTGAGACCTGGTGGGCTATTTTTGATTGGCTGTCATTTTGTATTATCAAAGAATTAGTTCAGTTCACCTTCACTGTCCATGTATTTGATGTTTCCTATCTGTTTGCAGTCATATATAACTGATGACGAAATTTCTGAGTACGTTTCCCATTTCGAAATTCACAGTAATGCCTGTCCAGACGTGAAACTTCAGATGCATCCAACGTGCATTGGTGGAGTAGTGTCTACACGCTCGCCTCGCATGTCAGATCTCCGGGATTCAAATCCCGGCATGGCCATTGGATATACACTGCTGATGAGCTCTAATAAGAGCGAAACTCGAGTCCGGTGCTTCCCTTTGGTGTGGACTCACCAAAATAATTACGCCAGATCGGGAGGACGACCGTTCAAACGGGAGTGGTGTGACTATGAATGTAATGCCTTGTTCGTTAGATTGGTTTGAATAAGCGTCGCCTATAATGTACACGATTTACGTGCCACTGTAACCGCGATCTACACACAGCATAGAAGGAAAATGGTCTTATCTATGCGTGGACATTCAGACAACAGTGAGTGCCAATCAGCAGCCACGTAGGCTTATGGATAGATGACAGTTCTGATGTGCCTATGAAGGGCACATTGTCATGCGTCAATAGGTCAAGCACCGCACACAGGAATGAAGTTGTAGGTCAAAAAAGTGGCAATAACAAATCAAACAGCATGTGGAAAATATTTCACGGACGTCCCATTGCAACTGTAAACGTTCCGGATCATCACACTTAATTCGATAGTGCATTTTTTATTGAACGGGTGGGCTAATGTGGATTTTCCTCATACAAGTATAACATTTGACAAACAAGCAAAACCTAAATTTGTTTGGTTTTAGGCAAATATGCTTGAGGTTGGGAATCTGTCATCTCTCCTTGTGAATAATAGTAACATTCAGCTCAGGATGATTAAACAATACTTTAAATAAATGACAACAAAATCAATCAGGCATCGCAAAAATTGATTTATTCTTTCAAAAGCAATTTGCTCGTTATCCAAGGATTCGTTGCACTTCAGAGTGGAGTTTTAAAATAGTAATTGGAAAACAGTACTTAACTAGCTCAAGGTTATCACAGTTGGAATTAATTGTCTTCTAATGGATGGACTATTACGGGCAAACGTAATTCAAAGTACATGGATGGCTGAGTTCACGAAAGAATGTTTCGTTTTTCCCTCAGCGCCCAAAATCAACCTTGGTTTTGCCAACAGATGAATGAATCACGCAAGTCATTCATCCATTTGGTCCTTCTTTACTCCTTCCATGTAAACTGTCATACTTCGAAGACGATTAAACTTGTGGTGATAACCGGCCAATAAACGGACTAGTCAATATGACTTTCTTGATGGGCTTCTTTCTTTATTTTATCCATTGATAAGGCTTATTGGTGATCAAATCATTCACATGTTCGTCCATCGTTTCTCATCATCATGTTCCATAAACACACTTCGGTACAACTCCAAAACTAAACAGAACTTCCACAGAAGAGGCTGTATATGTTGTTTTTACCAGTTCCTCCAGCTCTTCTAACTAACAGTAATCTTTTTTACTTAGACTAGATCTATAATTCACTTTCAAAATTTCTTGACACGAAAGCCGCATTCAGCTTCATTATGGACAACTTACTTGAAATACAGTAAGTAAGGCCTTGACAAAGGTGTCGAAATTCTGACTGGGTTTTCCGTCATCAAAGTTGAATCTGTGCGATGGAAACGAGAACAAAAATGTGAGAAGAATTCATTGGGCCATACCATGACTCGGAAATAAACAAACACTTCCGCAGTTTTTCCAATGGCTCCTTAAAAATTAATGAAACCTTAGTTAGATTCTACCAGATAGCACCGCTTGCGGGAGATCGGTACGAGGAGAAGCAATACTAATCCACGCAGCTCATTTTATTACGCCTC